CCTCACTCCCCTGTCCAGGCTCACCTGCCCACTTACACAGCCCCCTTGGCCAGATCGCACCCTAGCTGTCCAGCTGCCAGGCCTTTGTTGGTGCACCCCCCTGCCGGTGTCACCAGGAGGCCCATACCCATGCTTTAATCACAACTGTCTTAACAGCCATCACAGTAGTGAAACAGCTAACATGTATTGAAAGCTTAGTAAGTCCTGTGTATTGTGGTTTGCATGTAACCTGTTAGTTTATTTAAAGCTCGTGCCACCCTGGCATTTAAATCCTAGAGGTGATAAAGTGGTTGAAGGCCTAGACCGTGGAGCTAGACCGTGTAGGTTCACATCCCACCTGTCTCATCATCAACTCTATGCTCGGGGGCATGTGCCTCAGTTTCTCCAACCCTAACATGGGCATGGTAACGGCACATGATTCCTCAGTGAAGTGTGTGTTGGCGGAGGAAAAAATATTCCTCTACCCTTCTAGGTTCTTCTGACTGGCCCAATAATCAAAGTGACATAAGACAGATTAACAGAAGAAAATCAAACAAAAGTTAAATAACAAGTATTGCAGCTGGGTACTTGAGGGTTACTGTAGATATTAAACCAATTTGCTGTTTTTCCTGTTTAACTTGAGGGGTGACTCAGGGGTCTCGAGGATTTGTGAGCTTGTTTCCAGAGGATTTCTGAGCTTATCTTGCAGGAGAAAGAGAATGCCTTCAGGGAGCTTGTGATCACCAGATGGCCAGCCCTCAGCAGTCAGGGAAGCCCAGAAGTCAGATTGCCCAGGGGCTTATCAGGAGTGACCCCTTTGTTTCCCCCAAGCTCCTCCTGCCAAGCCCCTTAGCTCTTTAAACCCCCCTGCTTTCTGTTCTCAGGGAGGCAGATTTGAGTGAACCCAGGCTCCCACCTACTCATTTTGGCCAATTCAAATAAATCGTTCTCCATCTCCGAGCACTGACGTCTCAGTGCTTGGCTTGCTGGGCATCAGGCACACAAACCTGAGATTAAGAGGTTCATTATTAGTACGATTCCTGCATACATGGGAGAGATCCAGGAAAACAGTAACTTGCCAAAATGGCCAAAGCCACAGCCTTAAATACCATCTTCAGCTAAAGACAAAGGAGGATGTTGGGGGTGGGGGAGTCAGTTATGGGAGGTGACCAGGAAAAGCACATTAAACAAGGATAAAGTTGTTATACAGATTTAAGTCTTTGCCTTCCCCATTGATAAGCGTTTCTAGACACCGAGTCCTCCCCTTCTTCCTGGTACATCGAGGGAGATACCCTTACAAATGGAGACTTCCCTTATAAATAAGACATCTCTTACAAAAGGGTAAGTTCTACTCGTTTTTCAGAGCTTCTCCTAAGTCGGCAGTTTCTTAAAAATAATCAGCAAAATAATCCTTATGCCAAAGAGACACATTTTGGTGGCAAAACCTGCTCCCCTACACATGTAAAAGTGGTAGAGTAGTGCCTGGCATAATTCAGCACAACACAAGCATTTACTACTGATGAATAAATGAAAAGCAACAGGATAGGGCCGGCCCCGTGACTTAGCAGTTAAGTGTGCGCGCTCCGCTGCTGGCGGCCCGGGTTCGGATCCCGGGCGCGCACCGAGGCACTGCCTCTCCGGCCATGCTGAGGCCGCGCCCCACATACAGCAACTAGAAGGATGTGCAGCTATGACATACAACTATCTACTGGGGCTTTGGGGGGAAAATAAATAAATAAAATCTTAAAAAAAAAAAAAAAAGAAAAGCAACAGGATATATTGGAGTATATGAGGAAGCCATTTGGTTTAAAGCTAATTTGGCCCGACCTTGTTTTTCAAAGGAGCCTGACATGGCCTATTGAGCATGCATCGTACACCTGCTTTCACATTTACAATGTCCCAAAGACAAGAATGATGCCCTTTTTTTTTTTTTTTTAATTTATCTTTTTTCCCCAAAGCCCCAGTAGATAGTTGTATGTCATAGCTGCACATTCTTCTAGCTGCTGCATGTGGGACGCGGCCTCAGCATGACCGGAGAAGCGGCGCCTCAGTGCGTGCGTGGGACCGAACCCGGGCTGCCAGCAGCGGAGCGCGCTCACTTAACCACTAAGCCACGCGGCCGGCCCAGAATGATGCCCTTAAAGACAGGAATGCAGCTTCCCCCCGTATTGGCATTTCTTTAAGCATCTCTTCCTGGGAACTAAGGATTAATTACTGACCTGCTCACCTTGTGACCACTGACCTGCTTACCACCGACCTACTGTGCCAGCTAAGCATCTCATGACAGTAGTAAAAGAGATATTCCTGTCATATGTGATGTATGCTCTTTGTTCCAAGACGGTATATAACCACTCTGTACACCCCACTTCTTTGGTGAGGAAGGAAGACCCAGCTATAGTCTTCACACTTGGCTCATAATAAACTCACCCCTTGGGGCTGGCCCCATGGCTTAGCGGCTAAGTGCGCGTGCTCTGCTGCTGGCGGCCCGGGTTCGGATCCCGGGCGCGCACCAATGCACCGCTTGTCAGGCCATGCTTCGGCGGCGTCCCAGATAAAGTGGAGGAAGATGGGCACGGACGTTAGCTCAGGGCCAGTCTTCCTCAGCAAAAACAGGAGGATTGGCATGGATGTTAGCTCAGGGCTGATCTTCCTCACAAAAAATAAATTAATAAACTCATCCCAATTTTGATTTATAGATTGATTATGGATTATTTGCATCGACACTACTATCTCTGTTATACAGATGAGGACATGGGGGCTCACAGAGGTCCAAACAGGTTGGTTAGGGTGCAAACACCTACCCCATGCCCCACCCCACCCCCCCTCACACACGCAGTGCTATCTGATGCAGGGCGGAATCTGAGCCAGGAATATGGGGCTATTTTATGTACAGAGGGAAATGTGTTACTATTTTTATTTTATGTCCAATTCATTAAACTACGAACTTATCAATTAGCATTTCTCTAAATATTAAGCAACATTCCTCTACACTAGCTACTTACACATTAGAGTGATAATTAAAAAATAAAAAGCGTTTAAGAAACTAAATGTCTCCAAACATTCAAATATCGCTTGAAATGTTAATGTCTCTAAGCTTTTGATTAAATCACAAGTTGAATACATTAGATTTTCTTAAATTCTTTCAAAGTGAGGAAATTTACACACAAATATTCCAAAATTGATGTGCTCTCTTGCATTACAAGGATTTACAAATGGTATTAATTCTACGGATAGTTATAGCTGATACAGATGCATATATAAGGGAGGTAAGAAGGGAGGGAGGTAGAAAAAATAAAAGAACTTGGCACAGATTAATTCCGTATTTCCTTACAACAGCCCTATTCGGTGGGTACCATTATTGTCCCATTCTTTTTTTTTTTTTTTTTAAAGATTTTATTTATTTATTTTTCCCCCAAAGCCCCAGTAGATAGTTGTCTGTCATAGCTGCACATCTTTCTAGTTGCTGTATGTGGGACGTGGCCTCAGCATGGCTGGAGAAGCGGTGCGTCTGTGCGCACCGGGGATCCGAACCCCGGCCGCCAGCAGCGGAGCGCGAGCACTTAACCGCTAAGCCACGGGGCCGGCCCCAACATTTCCTTTTCTTAAAGATTTTATTTATTTGTTTTTCCCCCAAAGCCCCAGTAGATAGTTGTCTGTCATAGCTGCACATCTTTCTAGTTGCTGTATGTGGGACGTGGCCTCAGCATGGCTGGAGAAGCGGTGCGTCTGTGCGCACCGGCGACCCGAACCCCAGCCGCCAGCAGCGGAGCGCGAGCACTTAACCGCTAAGCCACAGGGCCGGCCCCCATTATTGTCCCATTCTATGTATGAGGACTAAAGACCCTGAAAAAAAAAAGACCCTCACGGTGGGGCAACAAAGAGAAAACCTTTTATCCTCTCTAATGGGTCTGCATTGCGACCGCCCTTCCTTTTGGTTTTCTGCGTCGCAGACACTGAGGTTGGCCAGGAGAAGAAATGAACAAGCAATCAATATCGGGATGTGCGGGACAAGGCAAGACCTAGATGACCTATGAAAAGCAAGTCTGAGAAAGTACTTTCTGCGCCGTCCAGTTTAGCAAGGAAAACAGATGGTTTGGGGAAGTCTCAGAGAACAATTTCAGACACTCAAAAAAATTCAGCCTTGGGGCTTGCAATTCTTGGTGTAGGGGCTGCAAATCTGATCTTAACCCTTTCCAGGACACTCATGCACACACAGGTCAAATCCATTCCCCGGGACGCACAGCTGCCAAGAGGGAGAGCTGGGATTGGAACACCGGGCTCCGGACCGAGGCTCCTCCCCGTCCTAGCCCCCACCCCTCCCCCCACTCCGTTATACTTTGTTCTTAGTGCTCCGCGCTGCGGACGCCTCCTGGGACCTCAGTGGTTTCCGTTTTTGCACTTCCAGCGTTTAGCCTCGGGGTCGCGTGGGTGACGCCGGGACCCCAGGACCCCGAGCGCAGGACGCCCAGCAGGGAAACCCCACCACTCGCGCGGGCATGGCCGCAGGACTCCGTTTCCCAGCGCCCCGCGCGGTGACGCTTGGCCGTTGCCGTGGCGATCGGGAAGGGCACCGCCTACCGCGCCGGAAATCAGGCGGGAACTACGCTTCCCAGAAGGTTCTGCGCGTGCGTCCGCAGCGCGCATTGGGCCAATGAGGGCTTGAGGGGGCCGGACTTCGGGCGTTCGGGACTGTCACTTTGCTGCCGGGCGTTGGGCCACAGCGGCGTTGGGGGCTGGAGGGCGCCGGCTCGGGGCCGGTTCTCCAGCAAGTTCTGAAGACCCGAGGCGAGGGCAGCGGGAGGGGGCGGGCAGAGGGCCCCCCGCGCGGGTGCGCGCTCCGTAACGCCGGTCTAGCCTCGGTTTCTCCGGGTGCGGCGTGGGTGGCCCCGGGGGGCGGTCGGGCGGCGCCCGAGCCACGTGCTCCCCGCCCTCTGGGCCGCCCCGGGGCGTCTGCGCCCTTGACGGACGGGCAGACTGAGGCCGAGCCGGGCGCCCGGGGCGCCCGCCCCTTTCTGCCCCGCTCCAATACCAGGTTCCGATGGCGGCGGCGGCGCTGACAGACCCAGGGCAAGTGAGTAAGGGGCCCCGGACGCCCACCCGCCGGATCCCTCCTCCACGGACGCGAGCCCCGACTGAGGGAGGGACTCCACCCGGACGTCTTGTCTTCCTTCTCGGTTCGTCCGAGGCTCCAGTGTCCAGGTCGATGGGGAGTGCACGTGTGGGATCCCCACTTCTGGCGCCCGAGGGGGCGCGGTGTGGAAGGAAGTTACAAGGGCAGGGTCCCGCATGTGCAGAAGCGGGGAGGGCGGGCTCATCCTAGGTGCTTCCGGAACTGATCTGCTCGACGGGGGGCTCGGGGGAGAAGACGGATGTGCCTGAAATGCAGGCCGAGGAGTTAAGACTTTGTCCCGAGGGCGCCGGGAGCCCTAGGAGGTGTCGAATGGAGAACGGACATGCTATAGTTAGGATTTTTTAAGTATCCCACCGTTTGATGAGTGGAGAACAGACGCAGAGGTGGGTGGCGGTGTGCAGGAGGAGGCTACTGCCACAGTCCGGTGCGGTGAGGGCACCTGGGCGGGTTTGGGGCAGTGCAGATGGGAAAAGCGGTTGGATTCTGGATGGATCTGCTGATGCATCAGGTGCGGGGTGTGAGCGAGTGTCCTGAGTGAAGGACTGTCCCAAGTTTTGCGGCCTGAGCACCTAGAAGAATGGGGCTGCTGTAGACAAGCAGGAATTTGAAGGGAAAGCGGGTTTCAGGGGAAAATCGGGAAGAGTCGGCAATGTCCCAAAGTGGAGGCATCAGCTGGACCTGGAATTGTAGATGACCCAGGACAGAGTCCTGGTAGCCTGAGCTGAGGCGGGGCCTGGAATCAAACTTAGGAGGAGGAGATCTCATGGACTCAGCCAGGGATGGTCAGTTAGGGCTCCAGGGAGATGAAGGGTGGCTGGCAGTCCCTGGGGCTCTCCGGGCAAGTCTGGCAGGTGGCTGAGAGAAGGAAATAGAGGGGGCATGGCTATGGAGGGAGGAGGGAACTGGCTTCCTGAGTGCCCACCAGATCCTGGCAGCCATCTCTGTGGTCACTGGAGGGGATCAGCCAGTCTTTCAGGCTGCAGGAGCAGCCTTGAGATGTCAGGCAAGTCCAGCAGGGGAGGGCATCCCTACAGAGATGGGCATGCCCTGGGGGTCCACAGCTGGGACTTGTACAACTGCTTATTGTAAGAGCAGTAAAGGTATGTCTGGAGAGGGTCAGCTTGTGCAAAGGCTACCCCTGGGGTGGCAGCCAGGCTTGCTCTGGTTGCCTTGTGTGGAGTGGCCAGTGGGGAGGCCCAAGAGGCATCTGTGGCCCAACAGGTGAGGGAAGTTCCATCTGCAGAGCTCCGGGGGAGGAGGGTGAGCATCAGGGACGTCAGAGGAGGTCGCCATTGGGACAGGGAGCTGTGCCCTGTCACACAGCTATAACTCAAATGGTGTCCGTCTTCCCCTGCCCCCTGTTGTAGGGACTGATGGCCTTTGAGGACGTGGCCGTGTACTTCTCCCAGGAGGAGTGGGAGCTTCTGGATGCAGCCCAGAGGGCCTTGTACCGCCATGTGATGCTGGAGAACTTCGCACTCGTAGCCTCGCTGGGTAAGGCCCTGGGTCCTCCATGGGAGGCTCCATTGTTGCCAGGCTGGGCTGCGAGCACTAACTCCTCTCCTCCTGGCCATGAACAACCCCACACCCGCTGGCTGAGTGTCCCTGTCCAGCTGTGGCGCCTCTGTGCCCAGGCTCAGTTCCCTTCCTCTGGCCCTGCCAACATGATTCTCCTCACAGGGGCCATTGAGCTGTTCCTGTGGGCCCTACCCTGTGGTGCGACCTTCAGGCCTTCTTGGTTGCACAGATGAGGTCATCTATATCTCATGAAGCCCTGATTCCTGTCATCTGTTGGGCAGTGGGTCATCCTGAGCTGGGGCTGACTCCACTTGTCTTTTCTCACAGGACTCTCTGCCTCTCGACCCCGTGTGGTCATCCAGCTCGAGCGTGGCGAAGAGCCCTGGGTTCTCAGTGGGACAGATGTGACCCCGGTCAGGAATGCCCAGAGGAGGCCCAGCCTTGGTGAGTGGGGGCTCAGGGTGGGTGAGCTTGGGGCCAACCTCTGGCCAAGCTTCTGTCCCCCTTCCCTGCCCTCCTGGACACTCTCCTCTCTTGCCTCCCACCCGACTCCCTTCTGTTCTCCTTCCACCATCAGCCTCTTCTGGAGGGGGAACTCCAAGGGCACCCCCAGGCTGTGGTGAGACCTGCACAGAATCCCACCCTTAGCCAGGCTGTGGCCTCACACCCTCCCTGGCTCACCTCACCACCTCGTCCATTTGTGGGGCCGTTCCTTCATTCATTCGTTCATGTATCATTGTTTTTTGAGCACTTGTGGTAGTCAGGACCGTTCCTGGCACTGGGGGCACAGCCTTGACCAGGATGGTCCTGGTCCTGCCTTCCTGGGGTTGACTATGCTAGGGGAGAGCAGTCGGTCAACAGAGTTCATGAGTAAAATCTATAGCATCTGATAGCCATCAGTGTAAGGAGCAAAACCAGGCTGGGGAGTCACCCCAGACAGAAGTGAGCTACATACAGCAAAGGTGTCTGGCTCCTGCTTTTCTCCCCAGCTTCCACACCCAGCCCTTAGGGTCCCCCTTACCCACTCACTCGGCCTGCCCTGGTCATCCCCTCCTGTCCAGGATGACCTAGGCATCCACTGTTTCTGTGCCTTCAGGTTCCCACAGTCTGGCAGAGGTCAGAGATGTTTCTGGAGAAGCAGCATTACCAGGGGTCTTATGGGATAACCATCCTCCAGCACCTACTAGGATCCTCCCCACCACTGGTGCCTTTGAACGTGGGAAAAGCCTGGAGGGTCGGCGGGGCGCCTCGCCATCTCGGGAGAGAAAACCCACGGGGGTGTCGGTGATCTATTGGGAAAGGCTCCTGCTACGCCCGGGTAGCGGCAAGACAGGCATCAGCCTGCGGCTCACCTCCCCGATAAGGGCCCCCGAGGGCGGCCCCCCCGGTGAGAAGGCCCGCACAGACCGCCCCGAGCCAGGCAAGCAGCTGAGGGCGTCTGAGCAGCAGAAGCCACACGTGCGGGAGGCCCCTGGGAGAACCTTCCCGGGCGTCCCACACCTCGAGGCGGGTCACGCTGTGGGGGAACAAAGCATGGGTGCGGCTTGGCGTGAACCTCAGAGACTCCCTGCCGGCCAGGAGCCCCCGACCTGGGACGCGCTGGGCGAGTCCCTCCACGCCAGCCCCGGCCTCCTCCCTGGGGAGAAGCCCTTCGAGTGCAGGGCGTGCAGCAAGGTGTTCGTGAAGAGCTCCGACCTGCTCAAGCACCTGCGCACCCACACCGGGGAGCGGCCCTACGAGTGCGCGCAGTGCGGCAAGGCCTTCAGCCAGACGTCGCACCTGACACAGCACCAGCGCATCCACAGCGGCGAGACGCCGTACGCGTGCCCGGCCTGCGGCAAGGCCTTCCGGCACAGCTCCTCGCTGGTGCGCCACCAGCGCATCCACACGGCCGAGAAGTCCTTCCGCTGCGGCGAGTGCGGCAAGGCTTTCAGCCACGGCTCCAACCTCAGCCAGCACCGCAAGATCCACGCGGGCGGGCGGCCCTACGCGTGCGCGCAGTGCGGCCGCCGCTTCTGCCGCAACTCGCACCTGATCCAGCACGAGCGCACGCACACCGGCGAGAAGCCCTACGCCTGCACGCTCTGCGGCGCCGCCTTCAGCCAGGGCTCATCGCTTTTCAAGCACCAGCGTGTGCACACGGGTGAGAAGCCCTTCGCCTGCGTGCATTGCGGGCGTGCCTTCAGCCACAGCTCCAACCTCACGCAGCACCAGCTGCTGCACACGGGCGAGCGGCCCTTCCGCTGCGGGGACTGCGGCAAGGCCTTCGCCAAGGGCGCCGTGCTGCTCAGCCACCGGCGCATCCACACGGGCGAGAAGCCGTTCGTGTGCGCGCAGTGCGGCCGCGCCTTCCGGGAGCGCCCGGCTCTCTTCCACCATCAGAGGATCCACACCGGCGAGAAGCCCGTGCGGCGGCCCAGGGCGGGCCTGCGCCCCCAGGCCAGACCTCCTTCCGGGGCATTGTCAGAGGGCACGCTGCGGAGAGAAGCCGGGCCCGCTCCCGCCTCGGGCCCAGCCGCAGCTCCGAAGCCGGCTGAGGCCTGAGGGCGCAGCTCCGACCTTCCCTGGCCTGTCATGAGTCTCTTCCACGGATAAAGGCCGTTTCCGCTGCACAGTCACACCTTGGAGAAACCCTGTGTGTGTACTTTGGTTCCATCTGCACGTGGTGACAAGATTTGCCACTTCAGCCACAGTTCACTCCTCCATCCCTAAGAGGTCACACTGCAGAAAGGTCAGAGGGACGCACGTGGAGGCTGGGACTTTGGTGGGGCAGAGACTTGGCAGTCAGAGCCAGAGGGAGGTCAGCACGGTGGTACCACTTCAAGCATGTTGTGACCGGGCGCTAAGGTGAGGAAGGCTAGTGCGGGGATGAGGTGGAGGCGGTCCAGAGGAATTTCTGACGTCCACACGCAAACTGGCCCAGGGCTGACGCTCAGGATACCTGCCCCTCCGCCTCAGATCATCTAAGGCTTCCTAGGAGCCAGCCCAGTGGACCAGAGGTCACGTGGGGGTCGGGTGCTGGCCTTGGGCGAGTTGCTGGGCTCCTAGCCTTGGCTTCCTTCTCTGGGGAAACAAGACATAGGTTCAGTTCTACAGAGGGTATTTGCAGCACCTCCACAGGCAGGATCTTGATAAGGGCCAACACGTGTCAACGCCAGCCCCTGTTCTGAGTGCTGCGCAGTGTCTGCTAACAGCCCTGTGAGATGGCTGCTGTGGCTGGTATCCCCGCTTCTCAGATGAGGAAACTGAGGCAGAAACAGGGGACATGAGTTGCTCACACCAGCACCAGGACTTGAACCCAGGCCTCTGGCCCAGCATCCAAATAGCTCACCACCCCACCCCCACGCTCTAGTCTGCCAGCTCTGAGGGCTGAGTGAGGCCTGGCCTGGCTCCCCATACATGGCAGACCCACAGGAAGTGGAAGAGGTGGAGTCTGAGGGGAAAGCCAAAACCATGGCTCCCCAGCCACGCTTGTTCATCAGATTCTCATCCAAGCCTCAGCACTGGCTGTGTCCTTTTGTTACCACAGTCAGCGTTACAGGAGCTTTTACGTCCCTGCTGGCCTTACAAGAGGTGACTGTAATAACAGATTCAGATGAGACACAGTGGGGCTGCTTGTTTCTGCCAGGTCCAGTGGCCGTGTGCCCACCTATTCTCTTCCCTCAGTTGGAAGGAGGACTTTCCCCAGTGGGACTTGGTGTTACCTAAGGCCGTGTGTGGTGCCTCCTGAGATCTCCCCATCCCCCAGTGTGACACCCCCACACGGTGGGGACACTGAGGCAGAAAGGGTGGGGCCCTAGTTTGCTTCCTGTGGCCTTCAGCAGACCAGGGTCCATCTTGACCTGGGGCCTCACTCCCAGGAAGTTAATGGTCCTTTTAGTGTGGGGATAAAAAAGACTAGAAGTTACAACTTGGAATGGACATACATTGTAAATTCTTGCACAACATTGTGGAAGGCCTCAGCCTCCGCCTCCAGGTCATGGTTCAGAAAGTTTTTAACAACAGGGAGTCCAGAGAGGCTCCCTGATAAAGGTTTCTTTTTAAAGTGTGTGCTGACACCTGTTTCACCCTAAAACAGTGCAGACATGCCATCAGGGTGTGTCATCGTCACAGAGCTGTGGGAACATGGCTTCAACCTGGGTTCCGTTGAGAGGCCACAGGATAGGGATGCAGCCTGTGCATCTCTGAGGGTCTGGGACACTTGTGTCCCCTTGGCAGCCAGAGATGGGTGGGGCACAGCCAGGAGACCTGGGCAGGGCTGATGCGGTGGGGCTGCCCCGAGCAGCAGCTCTACTAGATGAGCCTGGGATCCGGGCTGTGGAACCTGAGGTGGGTGCCACGTGTGGTGACCTGAAAGGTTGACCCCAGCCCAGTTGGGTTCTCTAGTCCCATCATCTCTAAGGCTTTGCAGCCATTTGCTATACACAATGAGCCCAGACATGACGTCCCCACTCCCCCCCTGCCAGCAGGGCCAAACCTATCATCCGCCCCTGGAACCTCACAAGTTCCTGCAGGGAGGGGAGAAACGGGTGGGGAGCGGAGTCATGCAGGACCTGGCTCCCCAAGACCCTTTAAGGGCAGGTCCTCCGAGCCAGGGCTCCTGAGCCATTGTCTACCTCTCCTAGTCTCTCCTCTGCTCTGGTCCACACCCTGGCCTCGCCCCCATCTCACCTTCCCCCAGGCTGGCATCTGTGAGGGAGCTTTGAGAAGGTTCATCAGCCTTAGTCTGCACAGCTGTGAAATGCAGACAGACTGCCCCCCACCCCCAACTGCCACCCCCAACTGCCAGAGGGCTCTTCTGGGAAGCCCATGGGATTCAGGAGCAAAGACGTCTGTTGAACAGCAAGTGGGTACCCAGAGTCACATGCAACCTTTTCTACACATTGAACAGAAATTCCTGGTGCCCAGTTTCCACCCTGAGCCCACCTGACCCCTTAAGCTGGGCTGATGTCCTATCCTGTCTCCCTGCTGCCCGCCTCCCTGCTTCATTGAGCCTCCCACCTGTGTGCTTAGACCCTGCTATCCCTCAGTTCCTCCACCCTCCTTGAATCCACCTCTTCCAATACCCAGCACTGGCCGGCAGCCCCCACCCCTGTTGCTATGGGAACACAGACCACGAGCACCTGCCTCCCCCCATGTCTTGGCCCCCAAGTTGCCCTCTCCCAAACCTCTGTGATCATGTTGGGCCCTGTTCTGCCAGGCTGGCCCCTCTGCTCTTTTTTTTTTTTTTTTTAAAGATGTTATTTATTTATTTTTTCCCCCCAAAGCCCCAGTAGATAGTTGTATGTCATAGCTGCACATCCTTCTAGTTGCTGTATGTGGGACTCGGCCTCAGGATGGACGGAGAAGTGGTGCCTCGGTGTGCGCCTGGGATCCGAACCCGGGCCACCAGCATCGGAGCGCGCGCACTTAACCACCAAGCCACGGGGCCGGCCCTGGCCCCTCTGCTCTTAATCCCAGACAGGCTGTCACTGTAAAAGTGCCCCTGTGCTTTCTGGATCAAGATGGTGGACTGAACACATGATCTCACTTGGTTCAGAAACCACAGAGAGGAGTAAAACACAAACCCACAGGTAATGAAGATGATGAAAGAGGAGTCAACAGCAACAGCATTCTGAAGCCAGGAGGGGATGGGGAGCTGTGAATGATTTAGGGAAAGCCAAATACTGAGTTGGCACTGCGGGAAGGTGAGGGAGGTCCCACCAGGCTTACACTGCACAACTCCAGGAGGCTTGAAAACCAGCACCCCCCTGGGAGGGGAGACTTCAAACAAAGATGGCTGGGGAGAGCTACTGGAGAAGCTGTTAGAGCCCCAGCTCTCCTCACACGGTGGGTGGCCGGAGTCATTACTGTCCCAGTCCCAGAGAAAAGACGTAAGCCCCCACAAAACAGCCCAGTATGATGACAAGCCCCGGCCGCGCACATGCTCAGAGCTTCCAATCAGCGTTTAGACTGCTGCTCTTCATCAGGAGCTGGCAGCCAGGGACTCCCAGGCGTCAGAACAAACCAAAACAGGCAGATGCAATTTAGGATTGAGTAAATAAGTCATGGTTCAGCCACTTGACGTGTGGAAGAACAACTGACCTCGTCCCACAGTCAGATTTTAAAAACAATAACACCGCCGGAGATAAACTAAAAATAAAGATCACCCTTACTTGTTCTGGTCCCCAAAGTAAATTAAAGGTTGAGCACATCCCATAAGCCTAGAACAAAACCTCCATGGCTCACTCTGCAGTACTGATATCTGAAGACATGTCTGAGGCTCTGAGGGTATAAATAATGGGACAGTAAATGGGTGCCCACCCGAGTCTCTTGTCCCTGCAAGTCCGCAGGGCGCTCAGCGGAGGAAGAATGAAGGACTCCAGCACCCTCCTCTCTGGAGAAATTCCAGGGATGGCGGAGAAAACCCACGGATCAGGCCAGCCTTCCCGGCCAGACACCGCTTCCTCCTGGGACCACCTGGATGGGTCTCGAACTACACTACCCAGGCCACCACTTCCGGCCTCCCTGGCGGACAGGGCGACGCTCCGGCCGTTGCCTTGGAGATAGCTGAGGCGGGCGGATGTGCTCTGACGGTTACCAAGGGGACGGCTGGGCTACGAGAAAGCAGCCTCCGGAAGCGCGCTGGGGGAGGAGCCTGGGTGGAGTGCGAGTTCTGATTGGCCGAAGAGTCACACTCCTCCCCGCCCCTCACCTCGCCTGCCAATAGGAACTCGGCCCGTTGTGCACATGCGCACGATTCTAAGGCACCGTCCATCTGGGCAGTTGGTGAGTTGAAAGGCTCAGATACAAAGAACAGCCGCCAGTGAGGGGAGGGAACCCCCAAAACTCTGCGACTCTGCAGGTTCCTCTAAGAGGAAGGGGCGTCTCTCAGTCGTGAGAGGCCTCTCAAAACGAGCATCCGCTGGCCGAGGCTGCGCCGGTCCTCGCTTGCTGAGGCTCATGGGAAACGTAGTCCAAAGGGAGAGACGGTGCCTTCTGGGCAGGAGCCTGATTGGCCGGGGCGGCGTCGCCAGGGCAACGCGAGGAGGGGCGGGCCGCTGCGTCCCTCGGGAGGCGGGCGGTGGGGCACGGTGCCATTTACCGGAAGTGGCCTCCGGGCGCCGGCGCTGCGGTCGAGGTGAGCGTAGGCCGAGCGGGGCGGGGCGCGGCCTCTCCACCCCCCGGGACCCGGCCGGCCCCTCTCCCAGCGCTGCCTCCCGACGTGCGCTGCGCGCCCGGCCGCCGAGCTTTTCCCTGCCTGCCGCCAGTTCCCCTCCTCCGGGAAGACCTCCTCCCTCCCTTTCCTTTGGACAGACTCGAGGGGTCTGGTCTAGCCCGTCTGACAGGCCCCCCGGTGGGCGTGTTTCACTGCGGACCCTCTTCAGGCCCGGGACGTGGTTGCCCACTTACGCATCTACGCAACTCCTGGCTCCGGGTTGTTTTGCTTTTCACGTGCACGGTTCGCTGTGGTCAGTCAGCGAGCAGGTTGTCTGTGGGTCCACAGCAGCCTCTGCGTGCACCCATGGCGCAGACGTGCCTGTCCCTCTAGCCAGCCCCTCGGGGTGCCCCACTTGAGTCAACATGTCCCGGAGATCACGGCCACAGACACGCCTCTCCTACTGCTGCCCTTCCCACCCTCACGCTCCGCACAGCCGAGATCACAGCCCCACCGCCTCCTTGACTCCCTGTCCCTCGGCCTCCTGCCCTTCTGACTGCTTGCCTCCCTTCTCGGCTGGGCACTCTCCGTGGCTCCTAACCCTAACCCTAACCCTAACCCTGGCTACCTGTGATGACTTCCCTCGCCTACCTCTCCACCCTCGTCTTCCAGTAGTCCCCTGTTGTACCTAAATGCAGTTTCCTGGAAGCTCCCCTGGGCAACCTGCCTCCAAGCATTCGTCCACAAGGATCCTTCTGCTCTGTTTCCTCCAGCAGCCCGCTCCTGCGACTCCTCCCTCCAGGAAGCTTTTCTGGCCTCACCCACCCCGGAGCCAGGGTCCTCTCTGTCCTGGCCCCAGCCCCCTGGGCTGGGCCTGTCTGCACGTCTGCCTACCTGGCCATGGTCTCTTGGTCAGCACCCTAACCCTTCCTTTTCTGCAGGTCCCTCTTGGTGGCTCTAAGAAGATTTCCAGCACAACAATGCCATCCCCACTGGGCCGCCCATGCCTGCCCTCCGTGGATCCCGCAGCCACCCTGGAGGAACTTGAGGCAGCACGCCTGCGCTTCCGGGGGTTCTGCTACCAGGAGGTGGCGGGTCCCCGAGAGGCCCTGGCCCGGCTCCGGGAGCTGTGCCGCCAGTGGTTGCAGCCAGAGGTGCGCTCCAAGGAGCAGATGCTGGAGCTGCTGGTGCTGGAGCAGTTCCTGGGCGCCCTGCCCCCTGAGATCCAGGCCTGGGTGCGGGGACAGCGGCCAGGCAGCCCTGAGGAGGCTGCAGCCCTGGTAGAGGACCTGCAGCATGACCCTGGGCAGATGCTGGACTGGGTGAGTGTGGCTGGTGTTGGTTTCTTGGAGGGACAGAGCGAGACTAGAGCCCCCATGACTTGCCTCTCCCTCTCAGATCACAGCCCATGTCCTGAAGCAAACGGTGCTCCCGGCAGCACAGAAGACAGAGGAGTCTTTGGGGAGCCCCCACCCTTCAGGGACAGTGGAGCCCCTCAGGGCAGCCTCTGGTGAGGAACCACAGGACACCCAGATGGAGGGGCATGCCCAGCTCAGCTACAGTGTGAAGGAGGAGCCTGATGCTGATAGGCAGGAGATGGGTGAGAGTGGGGGCCACACTGGGCCTGGTGGGCTCCTGGAGGGAGTGTGGAGATCCCTAGCTGGGGTGGGAATCCCAGGAGAGGTTGTGCTGGGGCTAGGGGCTCCTATAGGGAGTGTGGAGATCCCCAGCTAGGGTGGGGGTCCCAGGATAGGTTGTGCTGGGGCTGGGGGCTCCTGGAGGGAGTGTGGAGATCCCCAGCTGGGATGGGGATCCAGGAGGGTCTGCAGACTGCAGAGCTGGGTCCCTGTGGGGCTGGAGGAAAGGGCTGGCTGCCAGCCTGCTTGCCTGCCATGTGACTGGCACACAGTGGCCTCCTGCCTACTGGCAGAGGAGGGCCAAGGTTGCAGCACCAACACTAGCTCCTGACCTGCCCTGGCTCACGTAGGCAGCCCTTGACTCCCATCTGCCTCCCTTCCTAGCACCCTCCAGTCCCCCAAATCCAGCCCCGTCCCACGAGGGGCGCCTTGAACACTGGGAACTGGCCTCTACGTCCTTCCACCCACCCAGGACTCAGGTGAGCAGCCCAGGTGGGAGGTGCAGGCCCTAAGGGGGAGTAGAGTGTCCTTGGTGGCCATTCTCTGTCCTGCCAATTTTCCAGGCTCTGTGGCCAGCAGCTCCTGTGCTCTTTGCTGACCAGAAGTGGAGTTGGTATCAGGGTGCTCCCTGCAGATCCTAGGGGACAGAGGAATAAACCAGTGGTTTCTCTCCAGTTGGGAAGGATTTTGGCCTCAGACCATGGAAATCTGCTTTAGAGTGACTAGAACCGGTGGGACTTGGTTTCCTCACTTACAGAGAAGTCGGAGGTGGGGGTCCAGCTCCTAGCAGTCCTGAGCTGGCACCTGGGGATTTGAACTGTTGTGTGCAGGTGGGGAGGGGACAGGATGACCAACCTCAGGAAAGCCTGAGTGCCACTCAGCAGTCCCGCCCCCCCCAGCACCCCTGAGATCAGAATAGAGATGCTCCTTCTTGGGAATGCCTGAGCCTCTTCTCTCCCAGGGCCTTTGTCAAAGGCCAGCCTGCGCTGGCTGCGGTTGGTTGGGTGTGGAAGCTCAGTGGAGGCCTCTGCTGCCTGGAGTGCTTGATCCCTGAGTGTGGGCAGCAGGGGTCCTGTCCTCCCCAGCAGCTCTGCTCCTAAGCCACACTTCTCAGGAGCATCCCCAGGGAAGAGCTGGTTGAGATGTGCCTTGAGGCTGAGAGGCACCCCCATGCCCCTACACAGCCTGATGGCACAGTGGGAAACGGAACCGGAGGCGGGCTGTGGGCTGGGCCACACACTCTCCAGAGCCGCCATTCCTCCAGCAGCACCACCCGGGCTGTGGCTCCGAGTGGCTGCCGCCTTCCTGCCCCTGGCCCCGCTGTGGGATGTCTGTCAGGATTATTTTTCCCAACCCAGCAAAGCCCCAGATGATGGGATTTGGGGGGGCGAGGAGGGCAGACCCCATGGGCAGCGAGCGCATCCCCTGGTGAAACCGGAAGGGTCCTGCACCACGCAGCCTGGGCCTAGCTCACCCTCCGGCAACAGGAGGCGCCAGCCCACCGCCCGACCGCAGAAGCGCCTCATCTGTGTCCTGAGGGGGGTGGCCATACCTCCTGATTGGAGTGCTCCCCCTCCCGCCACCTCCCCACAGCTAGGTCCCCACAGCCATGAGTGCTGACGCCCCGGGCAGCTCCCCAGGAGGATCTGGTACCCTTGTAACCAAAGGCTTGAGAGGTGGCTGAGGTCTCCTCGCGTCCCCTGGCCCAAGGCACGGGGGTGGGGCCGGCACATCTGTCCCTGCCTCGGCCTCCCCTAGAACCCATCCGGGGGTCCTCAGTTTCAGTCTGTCCGGTCAGAACGTGGGGTGGGGCAGCTGAGGGAACGGTGAGCTCATCCTCCAGGTAAGCTGAAGGGCAGCTCCCTCTCCGGCCTTGCTTCCCCAACACGCACACATTCCCCTCTCAGCTTCGTCTGTAGCCTTAGGTAATCTGCCTGCCCCCCACCCCAAGGATGCGACCGCGGGGCCTGGCGGGGCTGGGTGGAGGAGCACGCCGGTGATGGGGTCGTCCCCACAGGAGGAGTGGGGGCTGCTGGACCCGTCACAGAAGGAGCTGTACTGGGATGCGATGTTGGAGAAGTACGGCACGGTGGTCTCCCTGGGTGAGGACTGGCCGCGCCCCCGCGCTTGCCAGCGTTCCCCCGCCTTCCCAAGGGCACCCCAGCCTCCGGCCAGGCCCCCCACCCCCGCCCCGGCCGCACTGGCGCTGACCGCCCCCCCCCCAGCAGGGTTGCCGCCCCCGCGGCGGGAGGCGCCGGCCGAGTCTGAGCCCGGGGCGCTGAGCGCGGGGACCGAGGGCCAGAGACGTCTCCACCCGGGTGAGTGCTGCTCGGTGGGGCCGGACCGCGCGTCCTTGCGGCGGGGGGCAGAGGTGGGGGCTCGTGCTGCCCCTCACGCCTGGGGACGGGCTGGCCGGTGTCGGGGGCGCCGGGCCACCTGCCCCGCCTCTCCTTCCCCAGGAGACGCGAGCGAGAGCCCCCGCGAGGGTCCGGCGGGCCGCCCAGAGGCCCCGGCG